AGCAGATGAAGCGGTGTTTTCCTGCATCGTAGAGACTAACATAAAGGAATGGACTGATAAAATTGAAGTACAGGTTGTTGGTAAGTCGATGAAATACATCCTGGTATTTGAACTTTTATATCATGTTGATGTAGGCCCTGGACTGATAAAATTAAAGTACTGATTGCTGGTAAGTGGGACGCCAGAAATTATATAAGTATTTGAGTGTTTTTTGGCAGATCTTTAAAGGCAAAAAAAGGAGGCAAAGATTTACAATCAGGGATAATTTCAGCTTGTTAAAACAAATCCATTTAATTCAGACATACATCTTATCTACTATAATTTGCCTTTAAATTCCTCATAGAGAACATTTGCCTGTGGTGTTCTATCGAATTTTAGTTCACGGTATTCTACTGATTTGCTAATGCAAACGCCGTAATCTGATTGGCTGAACTATCGTACATTATCAGCAATTATAGTTCACTTCTACTTTTCCCTTTGTCTTCATTCACCATTTCCACATCCCCCTTAATACACCTTGTTTGCCCCCCAAATTTTGCATAAGCATTGTCTCCAGTTTCTCTTGGGACGACTGTAATACCCAGGAGAAATGGGAAACAAAGGTTATGCAGAATTGTGGGGGGCAAACAAGGTGTATTATGGGCGATGTGGGAATGGCGAATCGGCCAAAACTGATCATGTGGTACTGATCTCACGCGGGCCGCGGGCGACTATTAGTCGATCCAGTATGGATGATAAATATTTTTTAGAACAACTATCAGGCAGCTATCAGCCCATAGGCACCCTATTGTTTATGTAGTGTGCAATGGGTGGAGATTGTCTTGAAAGGACAACTTTTTTTTAGGGAAAAAATACTGGATACTTCAATTATAAGTACGCGAAATTCACGCGCTTGATTTTTCCTAAAAAAGCGACAAGTATAATACTAAAAAATATGTAGAGTATCAGTTGGAGGTCGTTATTTAAAGGAAATAGAACTAAAATCCCACTTAAACATTTAGATCATTCGCTTTGACTTCCACGAGGTAATAGTTAATTCCGCGATCGGCTCATCAAATATCACCTCAAAAATCTTAAACTCATAATTAACCCAGGT